ACCTCGCCCCATTGTCCTTCCCGGGTGTCCCCTCCCCCCGCCCGCCGAGGCATCACCGGTGTGGCGACCCGCCCTCTGTCGCGACACCCGCCGCCTGTCGCGACACTCGCTCCCACCGCGCCTCCCCGGGCTCTCCCAGGCCCCCCGGTAGCCCCGGCGCCCTCGTTACCTGTCCCTGGGTACCACGCACACGGCCCGGGATCGCGAYAGTGCGCCCGCCATCGCGACACAAGTGCCGTCGGGGGGAAGCGGGGATTGCGGTCGCAGTGCGAGCACATCCTTTGTGTGATTCTTTCCCAAGAAAAGTGTCTTTTTCCGAGAGAATCGCGGGCTGGYTTGGGCTGGAAGGGACCTTCAAGCCCATCTGGTCYCARCCCCCCTGCCGTGGGCAGGGAACAGGTATCGTCAGTAAATCATCCGCCGTTTTTATTCCCTACCGATTTTCAAGTGTCTGACGAAGAAGAAGAAAACTGCAGAGCTGGACTCATGTTCTCAGTCCACTCGTGCAGCAAAGTACTGAGATGGTTTTGGTTCTGCAGCGTGCGAATCTCCCCGAGCAACACCTGCGAGGGCTCACAGACRTCTCTCACCCTCCCCTGGTATCTCTAGGTACAAGTTGAGGAGAAATCACAAATGCAGCTTGATTAYTTCAACCAGAATTTGTTCTACTCCCTTCTTACTGTAGTCAGTTTTTCTGTAGTCACATTCTCAAGAAAACGTAAGTTTATCTGGAAAACTTTTTGCAGCAATACTTTTTTCCTCCTTATTGCACAAACCCGATTCTTTGTTGCTGCGGGAGAGGAGGGAGCTGGGAGCTCTCAGGAGATGAGGTTGGGTTCATAAGTGATGTCATTTTTGCTGGAGCAGTGGTGGTGACTTTGTGATGGAATAAATCCTCCTGGACGTGTCGGGGTTTTGCGATTGTGTGCGTGTGCAGTGTGGAAACTTGGTCTGATTCAGCAGCCGGCTGAGAAAATTCCGTGTTCGGTGCTCCATAGGCAGTGAGGGAATTGAGTGATGAGAGTYGCGCTTTCCTTTCAGCCTATTTATTTCTGATCAGGGTTTTTTTCAGCTTAAGAATTTGAACTTATTAGAGTCTGTTTAAGTGGGTACATAAAGCAGTTGGGAAAGGTGATGTTCTAGGGTTTTACAGTTATTAGAGGTGGAGAGAGCAGAGTTTTGCAGCCAGCAGCAGAGGGAAGGATTCAGRGAGAGCGTTCAGGTGGGTCTCATGTCCTGTCAAGCCAGTTCCAGAGGGTCTGGAAACTTGGAGGGGAAGAGCAGTGATAACAGAAAGCAAACTTGAGAGCAAACGAACTTACTATTAATTTTCAGCAGAGGAAGGTTTGGATAAAAGGCAAGTACGAGTCACAGCATAAGGTTTGCAATTAACACAGAATCTAAGCTTTCATGGAGAAATGCTTCCATAAAAGAAAGGCTGTKTATTTTACAAATTTTATTTACACTGGGTAGAATTTCTGAGGTGAGGAAATGAGAATTGCCCCTTGTCTGGGGGAGCACAGGTCGAGCAGGAGCTGGAAGAGGAGTTGATGAATTGGCTGTARTTCACAGGCATCGCTTCAAATATTTTCAATATTTCTCAACTATTTTAAGAAGCTGTATTGAATTCCAGCCCAACCAGCCTGATAGTCTGGAGAGAGGAAGGATGCGTATTGCTGGAGCAAGAATTAAGCAAAAATAGATAAATCTGACATAATGGATGACAAGGGAAAGCTGATTGCTGAAAGATGCTGGCATGCTCTGTTTTTGCATGCTTGGCATATATTCTGTTGTGTTACATGGCTTTTGAAGTGTAAAAAAAAAAAGAAAGAAATCTCATTTTGTGCTGAGATAAAAGAAAAGGCAGGTGCTTAAATTCTGTTAAGGATCAGCTTTGATACTGACATGAAGTAGTGACCTCGCTTGCATTTACCCCTCTGTCRTTTTGTGAACTTCTCAATTGAATAAATAATTCGCTTAGCACCAAATAAATGCCATTTAATAAGATGGTATTTTTGATCCTTCTTTCACTTCACATTGCAAACAGTTTCACACTTTTTCAGCTTGAGCACAGCCTGGGGTGCTATTTCTGTTAATAGCATTAAAAATATGTTGGAGAATGTCCACATAGTATTGTTTTTTCTCCAAATGTGAAATTAAGGAGCCGTTGTGTTCTCTGCAGCTTGGATATTTGCCTTCATTTAAGCCTTATTTGTATTTGTTTCAAGTTGTCCTCTGATAGATAAGCTTTTATATCTATGTTTGCTTCTGGGAACTGTTACCAGATCAAGAGGAAAAGTAAGGATTTTTGTCAAGGACTGAAGTATCTCTATTTCCCAGAAGCTCATACAATGTGCAGGAGTCTCAGCTTATGTCCTCTCCTGCACTTGCTGAAATGCCTGGATGTGGGATGGAAACTTTTATCGGTGTTTCCAGTGCAATATTTTACATTTTCACATTGGTTTGGCCATTCATTTTTGTTCTTTSTTTTTGACCATGACTTGTTACTGGCCAGCACACAGAGATGGGGAGAGAAAAAGGTAGAAGGTGTTGCCCTGGCTGCCCCCACCCCCAAAAACCTTCATTTCCAAAATATTTTATATCCTATATATTGCTGGCTTGCTCATCTTCAGT